CAGCTCAGTAATCAGGCTTATCCTGGTGCAACAATATTGTTTGATAATACATATCAGGCCCATCATGAGTTCCTTGTGTGATACAAATGAACTGCACGCATCTATAAAACAAAGCACAAACAGTCTAAGAGGGATTTACAGATGAATTTTTATATATAAATCTCCACTGTGACTCTGAATTGGATAAGGAAAAGATGGATGGTTGGATGAATCTGCATTCATAAATCACTTTGCAAACCTTTCATAAAGGTTGTCTTTCTATAAAGAAGCACCAATTAATGTTTTTTACTCTCTTAGACAAAAGGCACGGCTGTCCAGACTTTGATCAGTTTTAGAACAAACAATTAATAAATCCTGAAGTTCCACCTGTTATAAACCTGAGTGATTTCTATTAAAAATTAGATGGAAGGAAAAAATACTTTCTTCTGTTTACTCTGTGCAACTGTCAGATTTACAGTAATGCTCTTTATTCATGATTGTCTGGATAACTGCAAGCATACTATAACGATGCCTGTAACCTATTACTGACAAAAACCTGAAACCCCTGATAGGAGTAAATATCTGCAACACTGTGTACATCAAAAAATGGTCAGATACAAATCAAAGAGGTCTAGATAGGATTTAATGGCTCAGACTCTGCGATGGTGGTGCATGTTGATTATCCTCGCTGTTCTCTCAGGGTCACCGAAATGAAAAGAGCTAGCACACTGCCTCCATTAAATACCTTGTTGTAACCTGTTACTCAGAACTGAACAACACGCACAATAATGGCATATCTCACAAATGAAAATAGGGCCCCTGAGGATATAAAGTTAGTTGGATAAAAGCCATGTGTTTTCCTAAAAAAAAGAGAAAAGAAAGAAAGAAAAAGACATGTTTTTCATAACCAAAGAAGAAAATAACACTAATTTCTGAGTGGAAATGTTTCTTAATTGAAGAAAAAGGAGATGCTTAAAAAAAAATCAAACCATGCCAGGTAGAGGACCCAAATGATCCAACATAAACACAGACACAATACAGAAAAATTCTCTTACCTGTAGTATTGAGAAAAGTAGTTTGATATTTTACATTTCAATTTCACAAATGACAACAGCGCTTCTCAGAACACGATGTTAGTTGGATAAAAGCTCCTCATTTGTCTAATCTTATCTTTCTTGTTGGCAGTCGGATATGAATTCAGTTCTTGATCGTGCAGTCGTGTCCTGAGAGCAGTGGCCAAACATCCTTCAAGGTTGTTTATGGAAATATGGTGCACAATGGTACATCAGAACCTACTGAGTGAAGTGCAGATGCTTGTCACAGCAGTCAGGGTTGTTCAGCCTTTGGTGAATAATAAAGGAAGCTGAAATCTGCTGAGTCTACAGCATGTTCATCAGCACAATTCAGAGTATTTTGTCTGAATGATGTTCACAGTAGCTGCAGTAAATTCACAAAGCAGGAGTGCTTTCAGTAAATATGAAAGGTTAACCGTTAATCCACAAGCTCTCAATTAAGCCCTGCTGAGTGACTGGTGATCATATTATAAAACATAATGTTGTTACTTACAGCATAAATTAAGCCACAGTAAAAATTTGTACCATGTATGTTATAAAAACTAGAGTTTATAGATAAGTTAAAAGACCTTAAAAGAGATCTTAATTGTCCTTAATGAAAAAAAAGTAACCACAAATGTATGTTTGGGTGAAAAAAAGTGTTACAACAATTCAAAGTCACATATGATACCAAAATTATGGTCTTACAGCATAAGAACTTCTTAATTGATTAGAATTATAGAGGCACTTTAATGTTATGGGGAAAACACTTCTGTGCTAACACAATAATAATTTCATTTTTAAGGATATGATAACACAATGAATGCCCATCTTGAAAATTTAGGTCTAAAGATGTGACATTATGACAGTTCGGGGATTTAGTGGGATATAGACACGCACCACTACACATGCTTGAAGTTCATAAATAGATAAATATTCATAATTACCATTATGTTTAGTACCACTGTTGATACTGACAACTATAATGTAGCAAATGTTGCCAGACCATCTAGATTTTATTGTCTATGGACTAAGTCTACATTGGAATTTGGGATCCTGGACAGATAAAAGTACAATCTCCAGTTATTTGTAAATAAAAGATGCCCTGGGGGAGAAGAAAAAAGGAAGAAGGAAAAAACAAAGTTGGTAAAACAGGGAGGGGGGGTGTCAGGAAAGTTTCAAGCTGACTTAATTATTCACAAGGGGTCAAGCCTGCAGGTTGTTGCATGTTTGATTTAGCAGATTTACTTTATATCAGATGCTCTTCCTGACACAGACCTGAAGGGATTTATGTGTCACCCAAGGCTTCAACTTGAGATCTTTCACTTTATGATTTTTGATTTTTAAACCCTAGCTCCAGTTTCCATGTTGCAGTATGATAAATATTTGTAAAATATCCTACCTTTTTATGCAGCTGATACGCAGTTAATATTTTCCTCTGATGATCAAAACCCCTGTTCACAAATTAATAAGCAGCATTGATTGACTGATGGATATCTAGAAGCCTTTTAGAACTGAACAGAGACAAGGACATAGTCCAAAAAGTCTGCAAAAGTAAATTTGTTCATACTTACTATTACTTCATCTAAAAACAGTGAATAAGGCAGGAAACCTGGCATTTTGTTTGGCAAATTAATAAAGTCAACAAGCAAAGTAATCCTGTCCTTAGACAGCACAGCTTCTCATCTGCAATGAATATATGTATCCATCCTTCAGATTATTGCCATCTTGTGGCCATGCTGTCGCTGAAAGCTGTGCTTGTTTCAATCTCACAGAAAACTGCAGTTATTTTGAGGGCGTGGCCATGTCCTGTTAACTAGTGGTGTGCGATACTGCATATTTTGGTATCGATCCGATACCAAGTACATACGGGTCAGTATCGCTGATACCGATACTTTCAATAAATAAGCTGGATGCATCATTGAACTGCTAAATCTCAATTCATTTTCATGACCTTAAGTGTTTTTTGTAATGTTTCCTTTTTCAATATTAGCATTATTATTACAGCGGGAGAGCTGCAGCCGTTGAGTGTGGTGTTACAGCAACTGTGTGATTATTGTAAGAATAAATGATGCTGCGAAGCATGAAAATGCCATCGGGTCTGCCGTGGTGGTTTACAGTTATCACTTTTTTATTTATTTATTTTTTAGAAAAATCTTTTTTTTTAAAACTGTAAACTAATTAAAACAAACAAGTACTGTTGAGAAACCCTAATACAAAAATTATAATTAAAAATTTCAACAGCAAAAGCAACTGGTGAAAATATAATTGATATGTAAACAACTTAACAACCCCCAAAGCGTCTAAATCAGGTCACGTGACGGCACAACATCTAAACACGGGGGGGGGGAGCAAAGTGTGCCTAAACTGCAGGTATGAATGTAAACTAATGGGAGAGCAGCATGTGAGGCAAGCTGCTGCCGGTCTGCTTTCACTGCTCTGAGATTAGTTACAGTCTGCGCTTCATACAGAAACACAGCTAGCATTAGCAAGTAAAACATCTTCAGTGATTCAGCATCGTTAGCTCTTGCTAACCACCTTGGCCAACAACAACTAACAACTTCTTTAGTACATTAGCACGGAAACCATGATGGGGAGGACAACTCGGATCCTTTTCAGTCTAATAAAACAAGCAAGTTTGAACTTTTTCAGAATACCAGAGTCACTTCATAAGTGTGCATGTAAAAAACTTTTAAACGTACATAAATAAAAGTGACACTGACATTGACGCTACACTATGGAGCCACTACTAAACGAAAAAAATCATAATGATGACAAAAATGATCACCAGATTTCGTGTGATCTATTCTGTGGATTCACCCATTCAAGCACAGAAACATACAAAACCTGCTCAAACTAACGATACCTACACTATATAATGGGGTTGTGTAAATTTTACCTCTTGGCCACATGTGATATGTATGCCTCAAATGGTGATGATGAATTTCTGAGTGACTTAATTTATCAAAGAGTGCATTTTATCAAAAGTAAATCGATATATTTCATATTACCACTGTTAAGTAAGTAAGGTAATATTAGCCAAACTGTATGAGCTTGAGCTCCTAATATGTGTGAGAACATTTTTTAAAAGCCAAAAATCACAAATTATGATGGGGCA